CCGCCTGCAGCAGCTGCTTGGCCTGGTCGGCGGCGCAGCCGGCCGCCAGCACGAACTGGTTGATCATCACCTGGTGCCGCAGCTCCTCCATGTTCACCGACATGGCGGGGGCGGCCCAACCCGGGGGGGCGTTGGGGGGGCGGGGGTTGGCAGGGGGGACCCCCGCCGTGGGTGCCCGGAGCGCGCCCCGCGCCGCGCCGACACCGCGCGGGGTGGGGGTGGGGAGCGGCGGCGGCACCGGGACCGGGGTTGGGGGGGGTGGGAGGGGCGGAAGCGAAGCCACGCCCCCTCCTCCCCGCGCGCTGATTGGTCACCTCCGCGCCTCCCGCCCCGACGGGCGTTGGGTTCGAATCTTCCAGCTGCTCCGCCGCTACGCCCCGCCTACCCGCTCGTTCATTGGTCGCCGCTTGTGTTTTGGCTGCAGGCGGCGCCGCCATTGGTCGTCGGTCTACGCGGAGGCGGGGCGATGGGGGAAAAGGTGAGAAGAGCTCGCTGATTGGTCGCTTTCGTTAGGAGTTTGTGACGTCACGTTCATTGAGCACGTTCATTGAGTGGCGCTGCGGGGGGTCCCGGCGGAGCCCCGGGGCTGCGAACGGCGCTGTGCGTCCGGGGGGCTTCAAAGCTTCACGGCTCTGCCCGGTGCCATCCCCGTCATAGGGTCATAGGCGGCCAGGGATGGTTCAGAGATATTCGGGTGCGAAGGGCGCTTGCAAGGTTTTAGTTAAAAAAAAAAAAGTGGGGAAAAATAAAAGCTGGAAAGAGGCTTTGGAGATTGGGGTGTGATGGTGGTCAGTGAGCAAAGCGAGGAGGGGGGAGTAGGGGGTGGGATAAGGATAGGGGTGGGATATGGGCAGGGGTGAGGGTGGGGTGAGGTAAGGATGAGGGTGGAGGTGGGGGTGGGATGGGATGGGGGGTAGGGTGAGATGAGGTGAGATGAGATGAGATGGGAACTGGTGCAGGTGATGCCTGCAGACCCGTGGAAGCTGCTTTTCCCTCCCCTGATGCCCCCAGCTCCTTTGAGGGCAGCAGATGAGCAGCAGCTCTGATGCCGGAGTTGAGCCGTAAGAGAGAGCTGCGGTCACAGACAGCCCTGGGAGGAGGCAGCTTACTGGTGGTATTTACAGGTGCCCTTTGGGGTTGAACGCTGTTTTCTCTTTGTGCATCGGATTTTATTCCCTCTTCCCCGCGTTGCTGCGGTTTATCGGGGCTGTCTGCGTGCCTGGGGCTGATATGGATGGGGCAGAGCAGAAGGGAAGCGGAGCTCGGCGCCGAGCTGTGCTTTCAGTGCCTGCACTCCTCGCTCCGCTGCGGCGCTGTCCTACAAAATCCTCTGCTGCAGCAGAACAGCGCTGAAAAAAAAAAAGCCACGAGCCGTGCAGCCCGCATGCAGCAGCTCTGCGTGTAATGAGCGCTGCTTTATGGATCTTTAGGGGGCTAACTTTGAGTTATTGTCTGCACTAAAGCCCTGCAGTCTGTTGTGTGCTGCTAATGACATGTGCCGGCTCCATCTCACTCAGGCTCCTTATTCCTGCCAGGGCTGTTGCTGGAAGGAGGCAGAGGAATGGGTCCAGGGATGGGTTTGACTCCACGGGGCCGCCCTGTGCAGAAATATGGGAGCTTTGGGGTCTGGGGGGGGGCTGCTTTGTTCTGCATGACTTGAGCCAGGAGCTGACTTGCTTTCCTAAGCCTTGGGAGACACATCGAGCCTCAGATGATCTGTGCAACCATCTCCACCGATTGCAGGTGTGGGGTTCAGCAGGGTGAGATCTGGAGTGGGGGCAGTGAGATGCAGCCAGGCTGCACGACCACCACCCCCCCCCACACACACACACATTGTGCTTTGGCTTTTCTCAGCTGTGCTGCCAAAAAGCAGAGCACAGGGGGAGAGAGACGTGCATGGCCCTGTGCAGGGGGGCACCAAGCGGGGAGCCCTGGGGAACGGCACTGCTGAGTAGCTGAGGACATCAGGGCAGCTCATCTGCCTCCCCACACATCTCTGCTTTGGTATTTATAGCATTCGTGTTATCAACTCGAATCAAAATCATGTGACGCTCCACTAACTTGCACTGCAGGATTAATTCATCACCGGCGTTTTCAGCCTTTCCCCTCCAAAAGGAAAACCCGAAGGTGCTCAGTGCTCCCATCTGCTCTGTGCTGGGCACCCGAGGTGCAAGAAGGGGGGGAAGACGACGACAACGACACTCGGCTTTTCCCAGGGGACACCCCGGGATGGATGGAGGGCGGAGCGGTGCACGTCGTCCCCATCCCTGCCTCGGGGGTCCCTGGGGAGAGGATGGCTGCTGGGGGTGCGGGTGGGAAGAGGGTGATATCAGGGGTGGGGGGTGCTAGCGGTGGGCACTTAGGGGGCTCCCGGAGGGCACGAAAGGGAGGCAAACGGGTCACACCGGGGATAGTGGTACCGCCGTGCCGAGCCGAGCGGGCGGGGCGGATTGGCCCGGCCCGGCCCCGCATTGGCGCAGCAGCCCCGGCGTTAACGCGGAGGCGGTGCCGGGCGCGGCGCAGCGCGGGGGATGCTGCGGGCGGGGGCCGCCGCCGCTCAGCCCCGGTGCCGGTCCCGGGCCGGAGGGCGCCCGCTGAGCCCGGCCCGGCCATGGGGGCTTTGACCAGCCGACAAAACGCAGGGGTGGAGGAGGTGGATATCCCCGCTAATTCCGTCTATAGGTACCCCCCGAAATCCGGTAAGCGGGGGGGGTGCCGGTTCTGCTCCGCGCTGGGGAGGGGGGACCAGGTGCGACCTCGCTCCGGTTATGGAGGGTTTCTCTTCATCCCGCATCCTCGCTGGGGTCGGGGATGCCCCTGTGCACCCCAACGCCCCAAAATTATGGGGTTGGTGCTGGGGGACACGCAGGGGGCAGGGAAATCCTTGAGAACATCCTTGGGGCTCCCCGTTTCCAGGAGCCCCGTCGCTAGCACAGCTCCTATAACTTGCCTGAGTTGCCGCTAATTTAATTCCCTGATTATTTGTATATGGGATCTGAAAGCTGTCACTCTCTTTATAGCTCCTCACGGAGTTGCTTCCTGCTCGGGTTTAAATTCCCGGGAGGACGCAGGAGGATGGGGTGGGAGGGATTGGAAGGGACCCCTCCTTCCCCTCTGCTCTGCCCCATAGCAGCCCCCCAGCTCTGCCTGTCGAGCTCCTCTGCCCTCACCGAAGCACAGCAGGGATGTCTGTGCCGCCCCGAATCCGGCCCTGTCTCAAACCTTGTGCGTGACCTTGGAAAATTGGTCCCTCCCCTCTGTGCCTCGGTTGGATGGAGCTGGTGACCGAGGGGGGGGGACCGTGTGTGTGTGCGTGTGCGTGTGTCCCCGTCCGTCTGTCCGTCCTGGGGGTCGCAGCCGGGGAGCCGTGTGTTCTCGGGGGGCACTGCAGAAATAGAATGGTGCCCTGAGAACGGTGCACGGGAGCACTATAGGGATTGGCACAGCATCCTTGTGGCACGGAATATTATTAATAGGTAACTATTTTGGTAGTTAATAGGATAAAGGTAAATGCTCGGATCGTTAGCGCTGTGACAAATTACTTGCTAATTACGAATAAAGACCTCCTTAGGAAGAATCAGAGCCAACACAAACCCTACCCGAGTCATGAAAGCTGCGCCTGGCTCTTCTCTGTTTGATTTGAACCCCTCTGCCCAGCTGGAGCAGGGCTGCACATCTGCTGGGGGCTCACTGGGGGCTGAGGCAGCTGACACTGTCAGCCCTGGGGCTTCACCAGCTCCTGCTTCTGTGCAGTCTGAAAGCCTCCATCACCTTGATGCCAGTGGGAGCCAGATGAGCCCCTCTGTGGGTCTGGCAGGGGCCTGGAGCTCTGTGTGCATATAGGGTTTTGTGCTGGGGAATGTTGTCCCTGCCCCAGGGTAGTGATTACGCCTAGCTGAGCATCCCTGGATGCATCTCAGCTGGAAGAGGACATCAGGCTGATGTTTACTCACAGCTTTCAGGGAGAAATTGGGGTTTTCAGGTGTGCTCAGTGGGGTTTCAGGTGTTCCCACAGGCAGAGCTGTGGGGCCACATCCTTGGGGAGAGGGCAGGAGGTGCCCAGCTGACAGGAAGGGATGGGGCCATCTGCACTGCGCGCAGGCTGGTGACTGCGGGAGATTAGGGCTGTCCTGCTTTTAATCTGAGAGGGATTTGCCTCTGGCACTGCTGGCAGCGGTTGCATTGAGTGCTTGTGGAAGCAGCCACCAGCTTGGAGCAGTGTGAGGCACAGCCCTCTCTGTGGATGTGACTGTGATGGGGTGATGCTGCAGCCGCTCCCTGTCCCCATCAGTCGTTTCCTTTTCTCCTCCCGGGGGTTTCCATCTCCTCTGGGCAGGGCACAGATCAGATTAGTTAAAGCTGATATTTTGAAGTGAAGGATTGGATTTGTTTTAGCGGCTCAAACCTGGCAGGGAAGTTGGAAAGGAGAATGATTGAGGGCTGTTTGGTGTGGGGATGCAGGGTCCCCAGGTTGGGCAGGTCCCTGGTTGCAGCCCCAGTCTCTGGCTGAGGCTGATGCTGACCCACAGGCCGGGGGCAGGATGAAGGGGTCAACCTAGTGGGGACACCCCGTGTAGTAGGGACACTCTATGGGCTCCTGTGGCTGTGGGGCGAGGGCTGACACAGCAGATCCTCAACTGGGGCTTGGCTTCTCCTCCCTCTCCAAAGCAAATTAAATTGAGAATGAAACAGCCCGCAGTGCGCAGCTCCTCACTGCCACTGGGGAAGCAGGGACACAGAAACACGAGCACCTGGCCGTGGGTCAGTGATCTGGGGGGGGATTCCCATTGATCCCCCCAAGGAGATGCTCAAGGAGAAAAGGGGCTAACAGCATTAGCAGTGTTGGCTGTGCCTGGGCACATCCTGCAGCACGGTGCTGGCAGGCGTGTGGATGCGGTTTTGTTTGCTGGGATCACTGAGCAATTTGGTTTTATTCTTTTTAAGCAGCCACTCCATTCCCCTTGCACGCAGCCGTTTCCCACACGCTCTCTGGGCCTCTGAAGTTTAATATCTCATTAAAGCTCAGCTTTCCCTTGGCAACGTAACTGTCCTTGACAGGCTCTCCTTCCCCTGGGGCAGGTGTTGGGGAAGGGATTATAATTAGCCGATAATAAGAGGGCTTTCACTGGAGAGGTGCTTCCCTGTCTGACGTGCCTGCAGTCGCTGGCTCCGTGCTGCTGGTGTCCCAATGGTTTATAGGGCAGAGCTTGACACAACTCAGAGCTCAGCTCCTTCTGCTCATCCTCCTTCCCGTGGGGGAGACAAAATCGCCAGGTTTTTACCTCCTGCCTCTTTAATCTCTCTTGCTGCCGCTGATGGCTGCAGCACTCAGCCCATGTAAAATGTATGAGCCTACTGTGAGGCTGCGTGCCTGGAAGCAGCGAGGTCAGGGCTGCATCCCAGGAGCTGCCAAAGGGATGCTGAGGGATGCAGCTGTGCCGTGGGAGCCTGCAGCACCCAAAGGTGCTCTCAGCCCCCATGTGGAAGTTGGTTGCAGCTTGGTTCTCATAGCTGATACTGGGTTAGGGTTACACTGTAGGAGCCCCCAGTGAGCTATGATTGCACAGAGTCTGTGCTCTGCTTTTCAGCTTTCCCCTCGCTGCCTGGATGCTTTCCTGCAGGTTTGAACACCGCCTTTTTTCCATCTCTTCTTCTCCAAAATCAACATCACAAAAAGCTCCGGATGGCTCCGGTCCCCCCAACCCCAACCTGTGTTTTGCTCTTGGGCTTTTTCACGTGGCCGCATCCTTCCTGTGGGAGCCACCTATAAATTATGCACGTGGAAAATGGGACCAGAAAGCATCAATAATTGACGGTCAGCTTTTCCTATCTGGAGCACTGCAGCCCCATGTCCCCACTTCGGTGATGTGGCCTTGGGGACCAAACCACTCGGAGCCATCTGTGGCTTTGTGGTGGCATTGCTGCTGAGGGCTCAGGAGCTCTGTGTGCCCCCTGTGCTCAGCCACGCTCTGTGTTTCCTCCCCAGGGAGCTACTTTGCCAACCACTTCATCATGGGAGGCGAGAAGTTCGACTCGACGCACCCCGAGGGTTACCTCTTCGGAGAGAACAGCGACCTCAACTTCTTGGGGAACCGACCCGTGGTGGTAGGGATCAGTGGGAGTGGGCTCTGCCTGCTGTCTGTCTGTCTGCTCTCTATCCTGCATGAGGGCAGGGACAGCCAAGCGCGCTGGGGGTGGGCCCAGTGGATTCTCTGATGTCTAATATAAAGGCTGATCGCTTGCTGCTCTTTGTCCCCCTTGGGTTCCAATCCACGTCCCCTCTGGGGCTATCTGTCCATCTGCAGGACTGGAAGTTACTGCCATGCCCCTCCTCTCTCTGTGCTGGTGGATAGGTTTGTGAATGGCTGGGTGCCATCTCCTTTCAGCGCTGCTCTGCTGTTGCCCATTTCTCCTCTGCCCCTCTGCTCAGCCCTGCAGCACTTTTCCTTCCAACTGCTGCTGGTAAATGAGTGCGGTTCAGCTCCTTCCCATGAGGTGGAGGCAGCGTTGTGCTTGCTGCTTTGTGTTCATCTGAAGGGCAGTGGTAGCTGCAATGAGTGGTCCGGGCTCGAGAAGCCCTTAGTGTCTATGTTCTCTTAATCTGTGGGTCAGGCAGCAAAAAATTCAAGGTGAGGAATCTGATGGCACCAAAGCTTTGCTATTGAATCCAGCTGAGCTTGCCCACTCCAGACAGTTCAACTTTTGGATGTTTCTCTCCTTGCTGCCTGCTTACCCAGTAAGAAACGCTTGGCTTTCGTACCCTTGCTCCAACAGTGAGTCAAGAGGCTGGAGTAAAAAGCCTCAAAACTGCCCACCGTGCAGTTCCAATGTCAGGAATCCCGATAGCAGACTGTCAGGAGCAGCAGGGAAGGCAAACTAACAGCTTGGAAACAGCAGAAAGAATTAATATAGCATTGCAAATGAAATCACATTGCTCAGGCTTAATTAGCGCCGGATGCGAGCGGCTGCGCTCTGCTCTGGGGCTGCTGTCCCCATGCATGGGGGGAGGTTTGGGGTCAGGGGGTCCTGCATGGCACTGGGGCAGAAACAACGTAGGTATCTCTGATGCTGCCTCCAAACTTTTTCTTGGATGCTATTTTATCTTCTGGGCTGCTGTGACAGAGGTGCGGTTGGGCTGGAAATGTAGGAGAACGCCGATGCTTTTTGCTGGGGGTTTTATTTTGGGCTCCTTTGAAGTCCTCAAAGAGCTGAGAGCCTAATTTCTTGGAAAAATTGTCCTAAATCTTCTCTAAGCTGTGCAGCTGGGGTGAACCGTTAAACATCACTGAGCTGCAGGGAGGTGCTGTGCTGGCACACGGGGAGCTTTTGCACCGATGCAGGGGATGGGGAGGGGTCTCTGCAGAGTGTGGTGATGTGAAAACCACCCATGTGCACCTGCAAAAAAAACCCCAAGGAATATTTTTGAGGGTATTTTTTGACTTTAACAGGGACTGGCTTGGATCAAACATCACTAAGGATGTGTGGACTGTGTTCTGAGAGAGAGCAGTGGTTGGAGCGAGGGTTTTTTTTCTGTTGTATTTCAGCTTGATTTAAATCAAGGGGATTGAAAAACTCTTCTAAATGCCCCTTTTGTAATTAATGACATTTTGCAAGCCAAATTTGCACCAAAAAAAAAAAAAACCCCACCAAACTACCAAAAAAGGGCTCACATGTGGGTGTGAAGGACCCCAACGGTGACAACCAGTTTCTGTAGCAAGAAATTTGCCTGCAGCGCTTCCCCATTCTGCCCAGCCCAACCACCAGCGCCTGCCTGCAACCCCAAACTTGTGGGGGTGGCCAGAAGGGCCCCCATATGGGCTGGATGGAGTGATGTACCCTGGGTGCTGGGTGCTCTTCCACCACCCATCCATGAGTGCTGTGCTGCACCCGTTGGTTGCGGGCATCCTAATGGGGCCGTGGGATGTTTTGAGTATGCCAAGGTGCAAATGAGCAGACAGGTTGGATTGCTTTGTGGTGGAAGATGGATCGTGCTGTGGTGTAGGTCCAGCCCATGAGCTTCTCCTTGTGTGGGTCATGCTTGGCTCTCAGGCATTTGCTCCCTTCCAGCTGCACCAGGCTATTCTGCCAGTGCCCGTGCAGTGCTTGTGACTCGTTACAAATCTCATTAACTCCGGATTAATGACTCAGCAGCCCTTTTCTCCTCCCTCAAGGGAAGGGAGAGTGTGGCAATTTCAAGGTGCCATGGATTAATCCTCAAAGCGCCCTGTGCCACCCACCTCCCACGCCTGGTCCTGCAGGCTGAGCAATTCCAGCCTGGATTCAGCCTCCCTGTGGTCATCAGGACCAGAGCTGTGGAAACAAGAGGGACCATCCTGCTGCCCCTGGGGTCCTGCTGCTTGTGAGACCCTGCTGGCCATGGGGTCCTGCCCGTCCCCTGCCCCACTGAGCTCTGCAGCCACAGGGAAATTAGCAGTGACTTTCCCACGTGAGGGCGCCTGGAACATGGAAAATGGGCACCGGGAGGGATGAGGAGACCCAAGCACTGAGAGGACCCTGGCAGCTCGCTTTGGTTTGGTCCCTGTCCCAAAGCACCAGTTCAACTCAAACCTCTTTGGCTTTTGCCAGTGTCTGCCATCTGTGCAGGCACTCAGAGCTCTCCTGGTGTTTGGCTGTCCCCTTGGCATGCACTGACAGCTCGTTGGTGAGCCAGACATTAATCCCAGCATAAGCTGCTCCAAGCTCCTGTCACTTCGCATTTACAGAGTCCCCGGGGGAGGTGAGCCCACCTGGGAGACATCTGAAGAAGGGACAGAAATGGGGAGAGATGCAGAGAGGTCCTTGTGCCTCTCCCAGTATCTCCCATCTTCCTTGGGTGGCTGCAGTGCCAAGAAGAGGGTGGGTATCCCCACTCTGCAGCAGTATTCCTCCCACCAGCAAACCCTGCAGCCCCCATGGTGGCTGCAGGTGACATGGGAAGCACAAGGTCACCTTGGATGGTGGTATGACACCTCTATTTGCTCCCTCATAGCATTGCAGCCTGCACAGCCACCCCATCAGCTCCCTGTGTGGACACAGAGGCTGATGGAGACCCCAGAGCCCAAATCCCATCCATCACTGGACAAAAACAGAGGAACGTGTGTCTGTTCTTTGCTGCCAGGCACAGAGATAGCTCTGTGCTCCCTCTGCCCAGCCTTGTCCATCAGCTCCGTGCCGCATCAGCAGGCTAAAAATACACAGCAGCTGCCTGAGGGGCTGGGGGGAGGCAGCCATGCACCTCGACCCTATTTCCCCTCGTCCTACACCCAAAGAGGTTTGAAACAACCCCTCTCTGTGTGCTGGTCCCCTGCAAAGCTGTCCTTTGCAGGGTGATGTCCCCGTTGCTGTGTATTTGAGCATGGATGCGTGGTCTGTTGTGGCTGAGGGGGGAGTGATGGGATCTGGTTCAGCCCCATTATGGATGGTTGGGGTATTTAAAGCCCCCATAGTCAGAAACGAACCAACTCCCAATGAATGCAGCTATGTAAGAGCAGCAGACTGGGAGAGAACAGCCTCTGTGATGATGTATGTGGAGGCTTTGGGCTTTGCAGGAGTGGTGCTACCCTTCAGCACAGCTTTGCTCATCCCAGGGGTACGTTGCTGTCCCACAGCACTGACTGGGGGCTGCTGTGGGGGTTTTGCAGGGCAGGGAGTGGCTTCACCATCACAGCAGGACCAGGGCTGCGGCCACGTAACTGTGTCTCTCTCATCCTCAGTTCCCTTACGCTGCTCCACCTCCTCAGGAACCCGTGAAGACCCTCCGGAGCCTGATCAACATCCGCAAGGACACACTGCGCCTCGTCAAGTGAGCACCCAGGGGTGGTCCCACCTCACTGTGTCACAGCAGAGGGGACAGAGCCGTCCCCATCCCTGCACAGCCCTCCCTGCGCCCTTCATGGTTGCACTGGGCTGCATTAGGTTGCATTGGGCTGCACTGGGCCACGCTTGCAGCCTGGCAGGATTAAGCAGAGCTTAGCACTGCCTTTGAAGAGATTTGCTTTTTTCTTCCTTCCCCCACTTCTGCCGAAGTGAGGCTGAGGTTTGGGATTAGGGCTGAGATCTGCCTGCAGCACCCCTCCTTCTGCAGATCACACCCTCCTGTGTGCCTCAGTTTCCCGTAGAGGAGGGCAGTCAGTCCCTAAAAGCTGTTTGTTGGGTGGTGAGGAGGACTTTGGTGACACCCTCTGTGCTCCACAGGTGTTCGGAGGAGGTGAAGACCCCAGGGGAAGAGGTCAGCAAATCCAAGGTGCACTACAACGTGGAGTTCACCTTTGACACAGACGCCCGCGTGGCCATAACCATCTACTATCAGGCCAGCGAGGAGTTCCACAATGGGGTGGCAAGGTGAGGAGCCCCAGCCTGACATGCATCCTCCCAGCACGGTGTGACCCCCCAGCCAGGGACTGCGGCTCTGCTGGTGGGCTTGAAACATCTCCCAGCAGCACCTCCTCTCCTTGTGGGAGCTGTGGCCATGCCGAGGCTGCAGGAGGGCTCTTCACCCCTGCAAGTCCATCCCCATCACTGGTCCCTTATGGCCAAGGTCTCTGCAGCCACCCAGTCCAGTCTTGCTCCTATTCCCTCCGTGTTGGAGCTGAGACCGTGCCCCATCCTATTCCTACCTGCCCTCCTGCCCCATGGATTATTTTAGCCCTTTTTAGGACTTTTTGCCCCAGCCCTCAGACACATCCAGCAGAGAACCAGTTCTGCTCGCTCCCCTATTCTCCATGAGCTGGAGGAGTGCAGGGACGGTGGCACTGCTGACCCTGTCCTTTCTCCGAGGGACAGCTACGTCCCCAGGGACACCAGCCTGCAGTCGGAGACGGTGCACTACAAGAGAGGTGTGTGCCAGCAGTTCTGTGTGCCCTCCCACACTGTTGACCCCTCCGAATGGAGCGAGGAGGAGGTAAGCACTGCCAGCCCATACCGTCCCCTGCAGCAGTAGGGAAATGGGGTGGGTGTGTGACCCCTGCAGTTCTAAATTGCTGTAGAAATGGCTTTAAAACGCTGCAGGCTGGCTGGGAGCACCCACAGGAGTTCATTTCCCTTGGTGTGATCACAGCCAGGGGGTGTTTGCAAGGCTTTGGGGTGTTTGCAGCTCAGCTGTTGGGAACTGCTGATTACGGATGGGACACAAAGCCTCTCTCCTTGCTGCTCGTGAGCAAGCTTTTCCTTTGGTCTGTTCACAGCTGGGCTTTGACCTGGACCGGGAAGTGTTCCCCATGGTGGTGCATGCAGTGGTGGATGAAGGCGATGGTGAGAGAGGGGAAATCCATTTTCCTTGCTGCTAAGGGCTGTGCTGGCAGCACAGTCAGGCAGCTCCTGCCCTCATGCCACCCCCCTTCTCTTTATGGGGACTCATCCTCTGTCCCAGCGTGGCTCTCTGTGCCCTCAGCTTGCCTACTCCTTGTGTCTTGCAGAGCACGCCGGGCACAGCCACGTGCTGCTGGCAACCTTTGAGAAGGTGAGCGTGGGGTTGGGATCCTGACCATCCTGCCTCCTCCCAGACCCTAGCCAGGAGAATCTCCTTGGGGCTCAGGAAGGGGTTTGGGCTGCTTGGGGGCCGTTTTGGTGCAATGGGAGCAGGGGGCAGGCAGGCACTTGGGCGTACTGGGGCAATCCCAGGGTGGGTCCACCTCTTTATGTTCTCCCCCAGCATGCTGACGGCACTTTCTGCGTGAAGCCCCTCAAGCAGAAGCAAGTGGTGAGTGAACTGCAACCCTGGGTGTCCCTGGGGGAACTTGTCACACCGTGTCCCCATTCCTCTCCTTCCCTGTGCACTTCCAGGTGGATGGGGTGAGCTACCTCCTGCAGGAGATCTATGGCATCGAGAACAAGTACAACACACAGGACTCCAAGGTAGAGGGCTGTCAGCTGCACCCAGCTGCCTTTCATTGTCCCTACTCCTTCAGCATGGCTCAGATCCCTCAGATGTGACCCTAACCCTGCTCCATGCTGAGGACTCAGGCCCAGATGACTCTTATCTCCCTGCCATGCAGGTGGCTGAGGATGAGGTGAGCGATAACAGCGCTGAGTGCGTCGTCTGCCTCTCGGATGTCCGTGACACCCTCATCCTGCCCTGCCGTCACCTCTGCCTCTGCAACACCTGTGCTGACACCCTGCGCTACCAGGCCAACAACTGCCCCATCTGCAGGCTGCGTAAGGGAGGAGCTCCCACCTTGGGAGAGGGTCCCTTTCTGGGTACCACGGTTTCCCTGGGAGAGCCTCAGGCTCCAGAATAGGGTGGATTTTGTGGGTTTTTGACCTCCTTTGGAACGCACCAGTCCCAGTTTTCAACCTCTCTCTCTTCATTCCCTTTTTCCTCTTCCCCAGCTTTCCGAGCCTTGCTTCAAATCCGAGCCATGAGGAAAAAGCTGGGGCCCCTCTCGCCCACCAGCTTCAACCCCATCATCTCCTCACAGACCTCTGACTCTGAAGAGCACTCGGTCAGCGCTCAGGAGAGCTTCGGGTGCCCCACTGGGGTGGGTTGGGAAGTGCTGGGGTTGGAGATGGGAGGGGTTGGGGTGGGGGGGAAGGGTTTTGGGGAAAAAAATAAAAAAGCAAGCAAAAAGCAGGCTGAAAAATTGCAAAAAGTGTGGTAAGAGAAAGCATTACCTGGCACTGGGGCTTTCATGGGAGCAGGGAGTTTGCCTGGTCTCCATTGTTTTTTTTTTGGTGGGGATGGGCATGGAGGGGACAATGTAACAACTGGGGGGGGGGCTCTCACCCCATTTCCCCCTTCACAGTCCTCGGAGAACATCCCCCCAGGCTACGAGGTGGTGTCGCTGCTTGAGGCCCTCAATGGGCCACTGACTCCCTCACCGGGTGCAGGGCCCATGCGGATGCTTGGGGATGGCCCCCCCACTGCAGGACCACTGCCCTCCTACAGCAGTACCGGCCGCCTGCCCCCCCTGCGGGCCCTCTCACCCCTTGAGCGGCTCTCAGAATGTGCCCCACCAGGGCTCAAGCTGAAGAAAAGCCTCTCCAAGTGAGTAATACGATGTGGGAGGTGCGGGGGGGAGATGTGGGGTGGGGGTGTGTGGGGGGGTGACCCCTCTATTCTACTCTTCCATGCTGTAGGTCGGTATCCCAGAACTCCTCCATCCTGCCCGAAGAGGAGGATGAGAAGTCGTGCACTGAGTCAGAACCGAGGGTCTGCAGGAGGAAATCCCCTGCCCGGCTGGAGGAGGTGAGATTCTGTGTGCCCCTGGGTGAGGAGGATTGTGGAAGCACAGGTTTTTGGGAGGATTTATTTATCCTCTCGGGGACCACAGAGTCTGGATGTGGGTTTTCCCTCTCCTGAACATCCTTTGGGTGAATACCCGAGAGATCTGGATCTGCACCAACTCGGTGCCGTCCCCAACAGCAAGTGGCTCTACCCATTCCTAAAACACCCCACAAAGGCTCCCACCCACCAGCTCTTCTTCCAGGAGTGTGGCATGACACCAGAGAGCGAGAACCTCACGCTGTCCTCATCGGGAGCCATTGACCAGTCCTCATGCACCGGGACCCCGCTGTCCTCCACCATCTCATCTCCAGAAGGTACATCTGGCAGACGCCTCCATGTCCTCACAGGGTTTGCACAGCCCTTGCTTCATGTCCCACTCCTCTTATTAGACCTGCTTTTAATTACCCGCTGCTCTGCTCCCTTCAGAAGCTGCCAGCAGCAGCCTGGCCCAGTCTGTCATGTCCATGGCGTCCTCCCAGAGCCAGCACTCACAGATCAGCACTGACACCGTCTCCTCCATGTCCGGCTCCTACGTGGCCCCTGGCACAGAGGAAGAAGGGGACATGCTCCCCTCACCTGCAGCCGCCAGTGCCACCGCCTCTGATGGAGAGGTACGGGGGGTGGCAGCCCCTCGTGCGACACCATTGCTTTTTTAAAAGAAAAATCATTATTATTAATTTTTTTTTCCCCCCTTTCCCACTTGTTCCTGCAGTCGACACCCGTGGAGTCTCCAGATTTAAACTTTGTCAGCATCTCAGAGGAGCACGATGCCGAGGTACGGCGCGGTGCGGGGAGCCGGCACTCCCAGTGCTATGGGGTGCCCCGTTGTGCTGACAGCCACTGCCTCTCTGTGCCGCAGGGCAATGACGTGCTGGAGGATGAGGATGTGTCACCCACACAGGAAGATGGTAAAAGGCCCAGATCGCTGTTTTTTCCCCCTCCACTTTCTGTTCGGTGTCACTGGCGGGGTGATGCTGTGCTGTCCTCAGTTCTTGTGCCATAGGGAAGAGCACTGGCTGCTTTGGAGGCAGCGGGGCTGGGGAAGCACTGGCACAGTGGAATTGCCACTGGATGGGTCAGACACTAGCAGGATGGGGACAGCTGGGTGGCCACGGGGACCCTGGGGCACGTAGCAGGTGACGACTGGAGCTTAGGATGTGAATCCCTGCAGTGGGATAGGTGGCAGTGTGGAACCAGGTACCCAGTGGGGCAAAGTGTCCCATGCATGGGCTGTGCTCTGGGATGCAGCACCTGGGTGAGCAGCAGCTCCTCGAAGGCTGTCCATGCAGGAAGGGTGATGCTCCTGCAGTCCTTCCATGGGATGCAGCTGGAGCCGTTTCCAGGTTGCCAAGTGAGAAAGTGTCTTCGAGAGGGTTTTTTTTCCCTGCCAAGAAGGTCTCTCAGCATCTCTGACAACCTCTCCCTTCACTATCCCCATCTGTGCTGGTTTCCATAGGAAGGGGGTTGCAAAACTGTTCCTTTTTGGACTACTTTCCTCTTTTTATTTCTGTTTGCTTGTCCTCAGTGTGCTTTCACAAGTCAACATGTGCACACTGAAGGCTCCTCTTGCTTCCTCCCATGCACTCAAATAGCCAAGGAAAGATAATGTTTCCCCCACACCACATGGCTTGGGTTACTTTAGAGAGACAGGAGGGCCCCCAGTGTGCCCCCTCCTGTATTTGCAAGGCTCTTGATAACCAAAAGGCATCAGACCTCTTTCCCCTTCAATCTGGACTGCCAGCCAAGCTGAGAACCATGAGCCTGGCTGTCTTATCATCAGCAAAAAGAGCAAAGCACATCCCTGTCCTGCAGGAAGGCTCTTGTCCGTGGTGAGGCCCAGGCAGGGAGAAAGTGGGGGTTGCTCCTGGCCTTTTCTAGCACCCCAAAAGCCAGCACCACCTTCCTCACGGGGAGCTCGGGTCAGCTATAAGCCAGCTTGATCAGGCACCAAGAATTAAGGTGCTCATGGGAAGTCTCCAGCTTTTATGCCTTAGGACATGAACCCGTGTGTGCTATCAGCAGTGCTATTTGAGACGCCCCCCTCCCCGCAGCTCTGTTGCCTGCATCTGATGGATGCACGTCACCCCAGAGCTGGTCTCTTGTCGTGTACCTGGTGCTAAGAAGCCTCTCTCGCCCCCCAAAACCTCCATGCCCCGTGCAAAGCTTGGCTATTCAGCTTCCTTCCATCCCCGCGGCTGCACTGACGGTGCCAGAGCAAGGGGCCTTGAGCCCTCAGCACGAGGAAGGAGCAGCTCAGTGCTTTGTTTGCTTTGTTTGAAAGGAGGTGGGGAGAGGAAAATCCCCATGCCCCCCTCCCCACGTGCACCCCGCCGCGCTAACTGCGTTAACTCCCTTCCAGGCCCGAGGACAGGCGCTTTCCTCGGTCTGAGGTGTGACAATAACAATGACTTGAGCATCGCACACGTGAAAGCGCTGGACAATAAACTGTGCTCTGAGGCCTGCTTACCTGGTGAGTGGCCACTTGCTGAACATGAACTTGGGGTGGGGGGGATGCTTCCACTCCTCCCTGCATCGCCCCCGCCCTTTGGATCCCATCCATCTCCATCCCATCCATCTCCATCCCATCCATCTCCATCCCATCCATCTCCATCCCATCCATCTCCATCCCATCCTTTCCTAGTGCTCCTCACAACCCGTTCTGCTGGCACATAACCACCCCTTGGTCTGGGTGTCCTCAGATCCCCACCACAGTGCCTGCAGATGTGCTTCACTGAGGGCTTCGTCCCATGGCTGGTGTCTGCTGGGACATTGCTCCTGGACAGGCTCCAGCCTCCCCACAAATGGCTGCATGGCACAACCAGAGCCCACGGTGTGGTTTGCAGTATTTTGGGTCAGGACATGAAGCAGAGATGCTCCAGCCTTGGCCAGGTGCTGCTGGATTGGGACACTGAGCTGCCTGCCTTCCCTTCTCATCAGGCAGGGAGATGAGGCTCTCCAGGTCCTGATGTCCTCCAGCACAGCCCCAAAGCTCCATCCCTCTTCTCCATCTTTTTACACTGTTTCTCCCCTCTCCTTCTTCCTTTCCTCTGTTTCTTTGCTCCTTCTCTCCATTCCTTTTCTCTCTTCTTTCTCCCCACCCCAGACTCCTCCATCCGTATGAAAGTTCATGTTCACTCTGTGCCAACACGGTTTTCTCTGCCCGTGCTTGTGTCCCCTTCCTTGCCCAGAGTTGCTGAAAGGTGACAAATGTATTGACAACAAGGGCAGGGGACCTGCAGCTACAGCAGGCTCCTCTCCATCAGCGCAGAGGGATACAAATGGGGGTAAAAAAAGCCAAGAGGAGCCCTCTTGTTCAGCTCCGTGGCAATACATTTGTGGACAAACTGAAAGCAACTCTGTCCCTGCCTGTCACTTTAGGCAGAATTGTTGACGAGGCCTGAGGAAGGGGAATGGGGGGGGTAGGGGGGTGAGAATTACGTGGCCCCACTGGGTGGGGAATGCCCTTCCTTCCCCATCTCCTCTGGGAAAGCTTCCCGTGCCACTGCCTCGCCTCCCGGCTGCCCTGTTCCTGGTGGTTTCTGCTTGGGAGAAACACAGCGAGGCTCTTGCAGAGGAACAGGCACCTGCCACAGCTGCCCCATGTCCCTCCAGCAGCACATGGCATCCCTCAGGTACCCCTTTTGGTGCCGAAAACATCCCTGAGTGCATCCCACTCCGTCGTGCCAAGGGATGGAGAGCTTTGCAGCCCAAGCAGCCGCAGAGATGCTCTGGCAGAGAAGGATGAGGTCTCCATCCTTTGGTCCTTGCGTTTGCCTGGCAGCTGCTCTGCTTGCGAACCCTCTGTAGGCGTTGCCTCTGGGGCTGATGGGAAGAGTGGGGAAGGGGCTGCCTGGACTGCAGTGCTGCAGGATGGCAGAGGAGATGGGAGCACAGCTGGAGGCATGCAGGGAAGGCAGAACCCCCACACTGGGGGTTTGGAGAATGCAATGTGCTCCCTGCAGCCCGGGTGCCGTGGGGCTGGGGGTCACGGAATGAACTGGGATGACCCACACTGGTCCAGTGGCCGTCAGTGTTGGGCAATTTTGGTTTTGTTTGCTGGGAGCGGGGTGGCTGCTTCCTCACCCAGCCCCAGCTGCATTCAGCCTGCGCTCAGCAGCTGGCTTTGCACCAGAGATAATCTGAGGCACAACTTAATGTTCACGGCGGTGGTGCTGGGCTGGTTTGGGTGCACCAGTGCCAGAGGTTTGGAAGAGGTTGAAGGCTTTTAGCAGTGAACCAGGGCAGTGTTTTCCTCCTGACTCCGGGAGGCTCAGATGTGAGTGCATCCACAGGACAGACACAAGCAACAGGGATTTTTCCTTTGGAGTATCTTGAAAGTTTAGTATCATCCTGACCAGAGATGGTTTAGAGACTGGTTTAGCTATGATTAGATCCACGAGTTGTTTTTTGCTCTCTCTGTAATGAATGAAGGTGCAGCAGGACGTGGCTCATCGATGTGGAAATGCTTGTCCATCCCTAGCACTGCTGTGAAATCTTTCCAGAAAAGAAAATGCTTTAGGAAGAGTCAAAATGCCACGTCCTGGGGGCTTAGGATGCAAAGTTTGAGACAAACCCACAGACCTGCATCCCCAGAAGGGTTCCCTGGAGCAGAGCCCTGCAGCCACAGCCTCTGCTGGGATGAGGCACAGCAGGGATGGGTGCGTGGCTGTGTCCCCACACCCTGCTCCTGGCATTGCCCCTTGGGAGCCTTTCCAGGATGCCCTGTATTTATACAGAGGCACCAGGGTGACTTATGCAATGTGAGCCCTTAATGCGATTGCTGCGTGTGCCTGTGTGTGTGTGTGTGTGTGTGTGTGTGTGTGTGTGGTCTTCTTTAATTACCCAGTCCCTCCAGGATCTGCAGCCTTGCCTTGTTCTTCAGCTCCAGCTCACAGTGTAAAGCCAGTGGAAATCGCAGCCATCACCTCCCATACATCAGCACTCAGTGGGGACATTGTTACTCCCTCTGACAAAGCCTCAGTGCTTCCCTTAGCCTAGGGGTGCCCCCACACAGCCCCCGGGGCTCAGATCTGCCCTGGATGTGGGGCTGAACCTCACCATGATGTGCTTTGTGGGTGCACCCCCTCCAGCAGCCCCACGCTGCCTGTTGTGGTGTAGGTGGTGGTGAGCACATCCCAAGCTCTGCCCATCCACGGGTGGAGGTGCTCCGTCGTCCTCAGCACGAAGCCCCGGGGTCACCATCTGTGACACCCCCAGTGCCCATCAGCAGTGCCTCCTTTTCCCATACCATCCCTGTAGGGGAGCAGCCGCAGTGCCAGTCCCTTTGAGTTCCTGTGTGCTGTGATGCCGTGCCTCTCACACTCACCATGTGCCTTCTGGTCTCTCCCTGCCATATAGCTGCAGTGCCGGACTCCTGCCCCATTGACATTGAGGAATAGGTATGAGAGCTGGCGGTCCCCACGTGCCCTGGGTGACATCCCTTTAGTGGGATGAGGGAGTAGGGGAGAGGTTTGGGTTGTTAAAACCCAGCCAGGCTGCACGGTGCTCCCTCCTTGCCCTATCCCATGTCAGGGAACCCCCATTTCGCCCTGCAAAGAGGCAGCCTCGTGGTGCTGGAAGGGAAACCCCTCTCTGATGCAACGTTCTAGCATGGGAACAAAGATTTGGGGTTTTCAACTAAACTGCCCGCATTGGCAGCACCGTGTCCCCCAACACGGAGGGTCTCCGCTCCCCTGGGGGTGTTGGGGTGCACTTCCAGGTGATCAGCCTCTAACCCCCTGTTTTCTCTCCCAGGCCCAGAGGCAGCCAACACCAGTGTGTGGCTCTCGTGCCCTCCCCCCTGGTATCAGCCACCCGGAGCAGGCAGCAGCCATGGGAGCCCTGCCCATGGGTGGGCTCAGCCTGGGGGACTCGCAGCCCCCTGCCATACAGAGGGTCCCAGGCACTGCCACCTCCACCTTCGGCCATTGGAATGATGGTAACCTCGAATTTTCCTCCCTGTCCCCCACTGCGGGATGGCCGGGTGCTGTGTCACCTCGGAGCCCCTCCATCAGCACCTTCCCTTCCCCTTTTCACACCAAGGTTGGGCTGGGGTCCTCCTCCTGCCCCATGTGGGGTCTTGGGGCATAGCCAGAGGGGAACGACGGCAGGAAAGTGTCTATGTTGTGTGTTAAGGACAAGTGTCAGCATTAGCAGCCAAGGTTCACTCTGGTGACCATGGTGGGAGGCTGGACCCCCCCCGGGATGCTGACACATCCCTGTGCCATGCCATGGGATGTCCCAGCGGTGGTGATGGAGCTCCCCCCCATCCCCTCTCTCCTCATGGGCAGCGTGTGGGTTCCCACAGGGGCGACTTGTGCCCAGGGATGGGGACATCACCTTGGGGCATCACCCGTTTAACTTCACTGTCTTCCACCACACCACGAGCTCAGAGCTCGGGGCTGTGTCCTCTCTCTGGAACAAGTGCCAAAATCATCAGCCAGTCGCCCTGCCCTGCTCTTAACATCACATGTAATAGCAGGGATGGATAAAGGGGATGGGAGCTGCCCCCAGCCCTCCATCCCCAGCCATCCCTGCAGCCAGCCTGGGGCTGCACACGTGGGTTCTGCTCAATGGGCAAGGAGGGTCCGGAGGGGTGTAGGGATTCCACCAACCACCTTTGGGGACTTCAGCATCCCAACGTAGCCAGCTCAGGAGCTGTCTGTGATTACGGGGAGGCAGCCGTTGCTCCGGAAGGTCCTGGCAGGTGAGAGGTGGGGGTTTTCTGGCTGCACACCCCTGGTGTGTGGGGTGAGGGCAGCCCTCCTTCCAGCACCCTCCACCCATCAGGGATTTAAGAAAGAAAAAAAAACAAAACAAAAAAAACAGATTGCTGCTTCCGACTCTGCTTCCAGCATGTTATGGGTTTGAAGAGTACGTTTAATAAAGGGTATCTTACGTCCATCAAAGTGTCCGGAGTCGCTGTGTGAGGGCTGGCGGTATCCCGGGGGCTCAGTGGCTGTAACCCCAAACCCGAAGAGCCTTTTCCCGTCCCTTCTTTCGAGCTCTGCTCGCCCGGTCTGGATGGAGCTGATTGGTACCAACGCGATGCCCGAATCCCCGCCCGCCCCTCCAGCCCCCAACAGCGGGACGAAACGGCGGCTAACAGCTCCTCTCCATGGCAACGCGGCAGCCAATCAGAGAGCGCGAAGCTGTTTACGGGGCGGAGCGTCGCCGTGGCAACGCGGGAAGCCTTGCGGAGCCGCTACTTAATGGCGGGCGCTGCGCTGCCGGCAAATCACGGCGACGGGGCGGGCAGCGCCGGGGGCACAACTCATCCCTAAAGGGGGGGAAAAGCGGAGCCCGAGGCCGGGGGGTTTGTGTGCGTGGGGTTTTTTTGTTTTTTGTTTGTTTTTTTTTTCTGGTTGGCGTTTCCAGAAGCTTCTTGCTCTCCCGTGAACTTTAGGAGCCGGGGCGCGTCGCTGGGACGGGGTAAGGGGAGGCGCGGTGGGATGCGCTATGGGGCGGCCCTAATGGGGACATCGGCCGTGGGGGGCTGCAGGTTAGAGCACGGAGCTGCGGGGGGGGGGTGTCATTCATTTCTGTAATCTCCCCACTCCTGGCTGCAGCCAGCAGAGGTGATAGGAGCTGAGGGCTGGAAGGGCTCTCGCGGTGCTGAGCCCATTGTGGGGGGCTTTGCTCCTTTTTGGGCAGCAGGACGAACGGTTTTCTGCCTCC